CAAAAAAAAATTTCAACTGGACTTGGCACCACTTTATAATTTCAAATATTCTGAGTGACGAATATTGGAAAAAAAAACCTGTCATGCTAGATATCTCGAAAACCATCAATATTTTCGAAGTGCAGATAAAAATAAAGTTTATTTTATTTTCTATGAAGAAACCGAAAAAGCGATAAAAAATATAGGTTGCCATTTAAAAAGACACAGTTGGGATCCGCCCAGAAAAAATCGAACACCCTGTGTGACCGCCAATATTTTATTTTGTCGAGCTCGAGCAATAAGGTAATATTATAGAAAATTAGATTCCTATCTGCTTCCTATATAGAGATATGGAACACCGCGCCACTGTTGCAGGACCCTGTATATATGTTCACCAGCAGGGTGAATTGTGTATATGTTTTAATGATGAATGAAGCTACTTACTACTCACTTACTTACTTAACAGTACTCCTTATATTTTCGGTTTCTTGGCGCACCTGCCTGTACCAGGTACCACTCCGTTTCCTTTGGGGCATATTGATACTATCCTGAAAAAGTTTTATAAAAATTATGAAAACAAATGATACAAAAGAATGTGTCATTAACTTACTTTTCTCTACTGAAGATACACAACTGAAATCACTCCAGTTTAAACATGTACTTAGTCAAACCAACAAATCTCACACATCAACTCTCTTCGGGCTCGAAATGAGGTAAAGCACAATGACTTTATTATCGATACTATTATCTTTCACTTACTTTTCTTAAAGTCTGAATATGTGTACCTCTACTGTTTGAAGATGCAAAAGCAAACTATTCGCTGTACTGCAAATTGGACAACCCCAAACTATAAATGGTACGCTAAACATGAGAGAATTTTACTTTGATAGTAACACCAATACACCATACAGTACACACGCGAACCTGTCATGTCAACCGCCATGTTAAATCAAATGTCGATTTCAACGCAAAGCTGCCAAGCGTTGTCTGTCGCGCGCTACACTTCAATTGACCAATGAGAAACATTTACTCGAATACTTCACTTCTCCATTTCTCTGTGGCTATGATTTGTCGCTTTGTAATCGAATAATTTCAAATACAAAACGACAAATAGGATGAGGATAAACCGATTTATTGAAGCAATTGATTCATTTATTGGGACTTTGTAGTTGGAGCAATTCATCAGAATCTTCGCGTTAAGTTCAAAAACTGGTTAACATTATTAGGGTTATAGTTTTGTTTTGTTTTTAATAATTTTGCATTATTTGAATACGTTATCATAAGATAATTAAAAATTCCAGTAATACATCGCATAGAATATTCCAAAATATACAGTGGAGATATATTCTAAGAATATATGATATGGTATATTCGATCGACAATATTCTTAGAAAATTCAAGGGAGAATAAGCCATCTATAGACATTCTATGCACATTCTTCAGGGAATAATCCTACCATATTCATTCAAGTATATTGTATGAATATTCTAAAGGCATGTATGTATTCCAAAAATATTCTATGAATATTTGGAATATATACGTTCGTTTTATGACATAGAAGGAATATTCCATGAATATCTGGTGCTGTGTGAGTTTCTCAGTATGTTGCTTCGAACTTGGAAACATAGAAAACTCGCAAGGAGTCAAATCTGTTGAATACGGTGGCTGAGGCATAAATGTGGTGTTGATTTTTGGCCAAGAAATTATGAACAATCAATGACCAGTGACCAGGTACATTATCGAGACGTTTTTCAACAATACTGGGCATTTTCTTCGTAATTTCTCTCGCAAGCGATACGACTATGTACGAGCTGATACACTACGCCACGGTGTTCGAAAAAAAACCGTAATAAAAATCCTTATATTTGATCTAACTTGGCGCAAAAGTCGATGTACTGTTTTTGTTTCGCTCAATGTTTACTTCGACTACCGTGGCGTAATACATCAGAAATTTTTGCCACATAGCCGTACGGTCAATAGGAAGCATTGTCTTTAATTTGTGCGCTGTTTGCGCGAAGCAATACGAAGAAAACATCCGGGATTGCCAAAGAACCATTCGTGGCTTTTCCATCGTGATAATGCACCTACTTTCTCGTCATTGTCTGTTCGTGATTTTTTGACCAATAACAAATGCGTAATCATATCTCAGCCACCACATTCACCATATTTGCTTCCCTGCGGCTTTTTTCTGGTCCCAAGATTGGTGTGACACATGAAAGGACGACAATTTGCGACAACAAATAGAAAAATTCACTTCATTTTTCGAACAGGCAGCGTATCTTTTCAAGTATCCAGAATTCAAGTGACGAAAGACATACCTACAACGACCTCATCTTATTCAATTTCACCTGGAAATATAAAATGGAAATTGTGCTATGAATTATGGATTGATAATCTAACTCTTTCTTACAAATGCTGCCACTAGAAGAGTTGTAATCCCCTTAAAAAATTGGTACACGTCTCTTGAAAAATAACATGGATAGCTCCTAATCTTCAACGGTGGTTGGAATCTGCCAAAGTGATTTATACTTGGGTAAGCGAGTTTTTAAGAGAATCCATCGGTTTAGAATTGGAAACAGGAAACGCTTGGAAACAGGAAGATAATAAGTAATACAGCCACAGCAAAAAGAAAGATATGGCTGAATGGAAAACCTGAAGAAAATTAAAATTCGAGATCATCAATCACTTTTTATATGTTTTCATTTTGTTTAGATTGTTCAGATAATGGTACGGAAAATATCACGCACGGTAAATGGACAGGAAACACTGTCAGTTTTATGGATACAAATTGCAATGGAAATATTGTTGACATTATCAATGATGGTGAATGAGTTTGCTGTTTTTCATGTGTTTTTTTATGTTGGCTAGTCAAATAAGCTTTCAAGATAGTTATCACATTGCGTTCTCGTTTCGTTGTTAATTTTGAAAAAAATATCAATTTGGTGCTGAAAGTGTAACCTTTTTTTTATCAAAAGGTACACTTGCACGGAGATCTTAGTCAGGAAGCTTATTTGGATCGTGAATAGGAGGAAACTAAAAAAATTGATGTTGAATCGGGCGCCACCGGATTTAAAACAGTAGTATTTCAGAATTTTGCCAACCACGGAAAACAAAATTCATATTTTATGACGTAAAAAAAACTATCCAGTGACTACATAAAATATTCCACTATCTCTGTTGAAAAACGAAAACAACATTAAAATAAAATATCATTTAATTATTCGAACATTCAAACAATCATATGTTTAGGAGAATCTAAGTTAGGTATGATCAACATTTAAATTATATAACTCGCCTGTTCATAGTACTATGTTCAGCGTAACAAGTGTGAGTCTTCTCGCTGTAAAAAAAATTAAGATTGATTCTTCAAAGTAATTATTTTAAATGAATTGCACGTGATGAATATATCAGTGCCAATAATTTTTCATTATCAGTTGCGGAGGAGAAAATAATAATATCATCTAATAATCGGTAATCATATAAAAAATAATGAATCAGGAAATATCGAAAATCTGGCCTTAATTTCCCTCGATGTATGATGGTGCTTGGAGTTCTTGGTAATGTCCTAAAGAGATGACGACAACTTGTAGTAGTGCTCTTATAAAAAATGTTCCACTGTTACATGAATATGTAGTAGAGGAGTTCCCAGGAAATGTAGAAATATGATTCTGTCAATTAGTACCAATACTTCGGATTCGACTGACGAAGGTGATTCGGATACGGGAGTCGATCAAACTTATTATATAACAAATTCTGAAGTCGGAAGCTTTTCTCAGCTGACTGAGTTGGTACTCTCCAGAAGAAACCCTACGAGAGAATCAGGAATAAATTTTCACGTGATTGGAAAATAGGCCAATTCTCCTTTTTTTTTTAAAGCAAATGAAATTATAAAAAAACTATGGACTAAAAAAACTTACCCCAGTAAAGGAAGGTTTCTATTACAAATAGGTATAAAACCTACTATTAAATGATCTACAAAGTGATGAAAAAGCAATAGCCATACAGCATAACAAATCCAATTAAGAAATAATACATAAACGCAATTTGCTGAGGCAGAGAGAGGCAAAGCCGCATATCATATAACATCACCTTGGTAACTATCCACAATATTCAAAAATATTTTCTGAGGACAGAAACGGAGTTTGGGATTCGGAAGAATGAAGTCGTGTGCCATCTAATAGAGACAGGTAGAACTTGGGATGTTCTAGGTATAGACAACATTATAATTGATAAATATTAGGTTCGAATTCATTGTTGGCTGGTGGCACCTATCAGTAAAGAGCATCACTAGGACAGTACGAAATGTATTGATCGTGATCGAATATGACATGTATACAGGTAATTTCATAAAATAGTTCGCGTTATACTCTGAACAAAAAAAAACGTTACAAAAGGTATGTATTTTTTCAACGCCTTTGCTGCCTTTGTGTAGAAGCGAGTGTGATCAGAATTTGTAGATTGTTTCAAAACTAAAAAAATTGTAATTTCAATTATTGACACCATATATCACAATATATCTTGCAGGCCATTTGAAAATAATTGGAACGTTCGAATTGTTATGACAAAAAAGATATAACTATCTATTGAAAAATAAAGAAATACAAGGAACCATTCATAAATGCTTCCACATTATTTTCTTCACGAATTCTCCTATATTAGTGATGACAGTTTGAATAACTAGATATGGCTTTAAGAGGCAAGTCTATGTGTTTGTGGAAAATTTGAAATTATTAGCTGAGAAAAAATCATACATTTCCTCCCACGAACATGTAAACAAGTGATTTGATATTTTAGAATGGCAAACGAAAGTGATGGACGATTGGAAATGATCAACCTACGAACACAGCTAATCTGAAAAACTCTCATATTTGAGTGCTTGTTATAATAGGTGATATAGGGAGACTTTGTAGAATACAAAATAAAAATTGATAAAGAAACAAATATTCTTTGAGAAAAATTTACTTCATTTTTAGAACAGGCAGCGTATCTTTTCAAGTATCAGAATTCAAGTGTCGAAAGACATACCTACAACCACTTCATCTTATTCAATTTCACCTGGAAATATATTTGATTTTGCCTAATGAGAATATGAAGAAATATATATACGTTATTATCGCACATCATTATATGATTCATCAAGCGAGAATGAAGTTCGTTGTGAATTATTTGAGCGAGTATTTACCATTTCTCGCGAGTAGAATACTACACTTTTTCTATGACTCCTATGACATCAAGAATTTTTCAAAATAATCTCCAATTGTGAAAGATTTTTCGATTTCCGTTATCATATCCAATTTCAAAAGGTTTGAAAATTGAGTGGTTGAAAAAGTTTTGAAAATATCAGTCTTCACTGGAATTCAAACACAAGAACTTATGTTCTTATGCCGCTTGTATTTGTTACTAACCTTACTGCAGTTTCATACTATAAGGACAATTGCAAACGAATACAATAAACTTGTGGTAGAATGAAATCTGAAATACTTAACGTTTTGTCTGCTACTGCGGCAATTTTTTCTTCCATTCTCCAAACATGATAGTAAGTGCATACTAATATTGTTTTTTTCTTTCAGGTAAACCATTTGCCAGAGACTGCAAAAAAATCTTCGATAGGTGAGATTAACAACTGTCGCTTTGAGAAAGTCAGTTATTTTTAGCACATTTATTTGATGTCTGTTGAGCCGCTATCAGTAATGGACCCAGTCGAACGTTTTGCTATAGGTAAACATGCTTCATGAACCTCATTGTACTCCACAAAAACTCTCGATTTCGTATTCCATTGAAATCCATTCAGTGGGAGGCTATCGTTATATTAAAAGCGAAGTTCTCAGGTTGATAATCGCAACTTCAAAAACAGATATCGAGATGTTGATGAAGGTGAAGCAAAATCAGAGATACGAGCCATCAATCACGGTATACCACACGGTACAATTCTCAGTCCGTTACGTCCACATCGATGATTCAGTTAGTTTTATTGTATGTACAAAATATTAACAATTTGCTAATGGTAGAACTTCAATACGTTCGGATACGAATAGGCTGAAACTGAATCACAATTAAACCAATAGTGTTCAAATTCCAACAAAAACTATGGTAATTATATACTCTATAATCTTTACTCAATATTCTATACTTTATACTCCATACTTTATACTCTATACTCTTAACTCTAAACTCTATACTATATACTATATTCTCTATACTCTATACTCTATACTCTATACTCTATTTTTTATACTTTTATACGCTATACCTCATACTCTATACCCTATATGCTATACTCTATACCCTATACTCTATACCCTATAATCTGAAATCTATAATCTATACTCTACTCTATACCCTATAATCTGAAATCTATAATCTATACTCTATTCTATACATGATCTATACTACTATACTCGTGTTTGTATGATCGCTTTTTTTGATAGGTTCGAAACTTTTTTTCCATGATTTTTAAATATATTCGATGAATTTACAGAAGTAGCTAAAGTCATTTTAATTCAGTCAGGAGTTTCCTTCCCAGTTTCAAATATATGTCTCTGAGATATCTCAGCTTTCTTAATTTCAAGACAATGATTTTGAGTTTCTGTTTTGGAATTGTTCTAAATGATTGTAACTTGTCACAAATATACTTGTATATATAAGTGGAATAGTCAACATATACTCTACATATCATAATCTTCATTGATATTTGAGTATTTCTCTGAAACAACTTCTCATTTGAAAACATTTGGAATATGAAATACTTCAATGTTGTTTCTAATATCAGTAATATTCCAAAAAAAAAACAACTACCTTTGAACGGACATTCAAAATTTAGAGACTTCAATAATTGTTTTCCACAAGGTACACTTCTAGGTCCGTTATTCTTCATGATTCATGTAGTTTCATCGAATCTGAAGTATTTACTGATACAGACTCAATGCCCTGAACTGCCAACAGTTTCACGAATCACGAATAAACTCATAGTAAAAAAGTTTTCAAATTTTAATATTGAAAACAAATTCGTGAAATTTTTTATTGTCTTTGATGTGCCTCAACAGTACGTCCAAAATAATTATTTCTCATCGTATCTGTATTATTATGTCATCACTATCGAAACATTTCTTTTTCGATGTGGTTTTTATTATCCAAGGAAATTTACAGATGTAGCTAGGATCACTTTGGTTTAGTCACGGGTGTGTTGGGTGTGTTTTTTTCTTTCAAGAACATATACATGTAAAAATCCATAGTACTCAATAATAAAACAATACTCATCATATAGTATCAATGATCACAGCAACATTTATGTTGGGAGAGAAATATTTTAGCACAATCCTGAAGAAGACAAACATTTTGATTGGCGAAAAATGTGAGCCTGGATTATTAACTAATCGACGATGACGAAGAGAAATTCACAAAAAAATCTTTTAATCGCGGTACAAACTTGATTCCCGAGCATGTCAAGGAAACTGAATTTTAATCCTCGAGCATAAATTAGGGAGCTTAAATTCTCTCCCAACTGAAATGCCGAGAAATAATACCAGGTATTTTAAGAGTCAGTAATCCTTCTACGCCTAAGACGCAATCTAATGAAAAATTTTCAGCCCTTCAAATTCAGGTCTGCGAGGGAGATTTGAAGGGTGGAGAATTTATTATATCTATATTTACTTCCACAAAGGGTGGGTTTGATTTCGCGATTTTGTTTTCATATCAATGATACTTTTAATGAAACCAGTTGCATTATATTTTCACCCCGAATATTCTCTTTTCATTTGTTGATGTTGATGTTGAGATAGTTACCGTTGAACTGAAACATGAATTCGTCCACAAATGGTAGAAATCAATATTTCGGAATCAGACACTTGTCGTATTACGAGCTTATATCATGAATGAGTTGAATTTTTTCATGTTATCCATACATACATTTATTACTGCACCCGAACTTTCTGCTCGTTTTTACCTGAACCGAATATTTCTTAACTTCGCTTCGTTTTATTTTTATGCGATAACCAGCTCTCTCCCAATTCATTGTCTTACACACTCTCAATTCGCTCTCCCTTTATGAACACAGTGCCATCAGGAATGTGAACAACTTCATATATGAAGCTAGTCCTTGCATCAACATATTATAAATTCACAGCGTGGAAAATACTCATTACTCTTTCACAATAACCCCAGAGTAATTTTCCACTAGCCCTAGCAAAAAATTATGTACATTCTAAAGGTAGCCATTCACCGCACGACTACAACTGATTAATGCGAGTGTACGGTTGAGCTCTTCAACTTGATGATGTTCGTTACACACTCATTTCTTTCTGAAGAATTCACCTGGTTGCATTTCAGCTAATTACAGCGGAGTTACATTGCAAGGCAGTGGTAGTTCGAAACGACAACGTGGATGTCGACCTTTAGACACAGTAACAATGGCTTGTTGCTTCATGTAATCTCTGTCGGAGCTTTGTTTCCGTGAACAATGTGACATGTCATGACCTGAATTCAACGCTGTATTTCACTAAAAAAACAGCCGCTGCATGAGAAACGAATATCTTTTGTTCGCTTTCCCTAATGTTTTGATAATGGTTTTTATGTAAGTTCGTCGTCTTCTGGAGAATTCAACAGAATATTAGTGAGGTCGAAAAAAGGTCGTTTATGAAAAGTTCGGGCTGTAATGGACATTACGCTGTTATGAATAGGCGTTCAGATTCGCTCGACAACAATTGGGTTGAGTTTCTAAAAAGGCTATTATGATTAATTTATGTTCAGTGAATTTCAGAACATCAACAAAAAATATGAGGAATGCCATGTATGTTATTTGGATAATGCGTTTTATTCAAAAGACAAATTATTTTTCTGAACGGGCCTAATATGAATCGTGAGTATAGTCGAAGTAAACGATATTGTGCACATTTAAAGTTGGCGGCACTTTTAAAGGCCAAATAAACCAATACATAGAAATGAACCGGCTGCCAACTAGTATTCGTGAAGTGTAGAATTGGCGGTTTATATTGGATAATTTTCACTAACCGAGTTTTATGATTGGCTG